GTGTCAGGGACCCCCCAGGCTGGACCAAGCCTCCCCCAGACTCCACCAGCTGCACCTCACACTGGACACCTGCAAACACAGACACATCCTGGTCAGAAACTGCCACACACAGCCGTTTCTCTCACTCATATCCACTCACACACCCAATAACTCTAGTTCTCCATGAATTACCTTGTAACAGAGCAACAAGAAAAACCCAGCTCAGCCCAGACTCCATGGTGAGTTTCTGTGTTCAGTCCTGATCACCGAATAGGAACACCTGGGAATGCCGTGGCTGGGGCTCCTCTCCCAGAGCTGCAGGGTGAGGGCTGGGCTGGTTTTCATCAGCAGAGGGAGGGCCTTATTTGCATGTCCCCTGCTATATAGCAAGCTCTGGGGTGGGACACCTCAGGAGAATGCAGTGCCCAGAGAAGATGTGATAGCCCTGGGGGAGGTTATGGGTCATGATATTTTAAACATGAAATTCTAAAAGGAGAAGCATGGAGGAGCTGTGCAATGTGTGCACGAGCAAGCAGACACCTGGGGAGAGGTACCTGCAGTATCTGGGCCTGTGGTCCCCAACACTAGACCCTACTGGTCCCCTGCACCAACTCCAGGATCAATGTGAACATGCCTCATAGGCTTTGCAAAATCCCTTTCTGTAATGAGAACATGATGCAATTTTGCTGCATTCCAGTGTTACAGCTTCAGGGTTGCATCACACTTTGGGCCTCAGAATCCACACTGCCCGTCACACTGTTGTGCCTTCACTATGATAAGAGCCTCACTCAGCTTAGGGGACCCAGGTCTCACAGATTTTCAAATGCAACTGCTGCTTCCTCTGCGTTGGGCCCAGGGCACAAGAGTGGGGCCAAGCAGGAATCCACTGAAGTTTGTCCATACATTTCCCTCTTGCCAGGCAGGACCACACAGGCCGAGGTTCAGTCTATGGGGCTGCCACATGCTTGGGACAGTAGCCAGTGCTAATCTTTGTGGAAGTCACAATGTGAGTGTGAGTGGTCAGGCCCCACTGTCCACTGCTGCAGATGGCCCTGTGGTCACACTCGACATTCACTAGTGTCCCCTCCCACCTCCACTGTGGATTCTTCTCACTCACGCCCAGCACTTTGCAGTGAGGGTTGCTGTGTGTTCCCTGATGGAGTGACTCAGGCCTGAGCCCTAAGAGCCATTGTGCTTGGTCCTTGGCATCCTCAGGCATGTGGTTTTGCAATTGTCCTCCCCAGTGGTGAATGCAGTGGAGAAACCCACAGACACTGCCTAGGCCTCAGGGACTGCCCCTGCCTCCATGGATACACCCAAGCTCAGCCTCAAAGCAGAGTTAATGCGTATCAGTGGGAAAGTGCCTTTCGCTGTTGACTGGTCCACAGTCATGAGGACCCCAATTGAGGGGCATCAGACCAGGTCTCAGATTCAGGGGAGCACACTGTGCCCCCAGTAGGCGTGATCCTCCCTGGGAACCAGGACTTCTAACCAATCACAGCCTAACGTTGTGGCAGTAAGAAGAAAGATTTCAGAAGTTGTCACCACGGTGTGTTGATAGGAATTAATCTCACCTCTAGCCCTGATTACAGACCCAGGTGCCACAGGACTCTGTAATGCCCAGCACATGGTCCATTCTTTGTGACCAAGGAATCCCTGTAAAGGACCTTGGTGTAGGTTAATCAAGATCCACATGCTAATTTTTGTTGTTGCTGTGATTACCACTGGGATCTTAATAAACCTTGGCATAAGCTTGTTGGAAAAATTGGCCCGGAGACATAAAAGGTTTCAGGAGTTTTTTTTTTTTTTTCCTTTGGTTTCAGGAGTTTTGCAGGGCTTTGCCTTGAAGGGATCTGTGACATGTTAGTTCACAGAATAGAAGCTGCTTCCGACAAAGGCAGGCGTTGTCAGGAAGTCTGCACAGCAGCATTTCTTCTTCGCTGCCAACCATCACCTTCAGCTTTTCTGCAAGGCAGAAGCTCGGTTTGGGCCCTTAGTGGAGAAGCTGATTAAAATGCCTGCCCAGCAGATAACGTGCAGCTGGAACTATCCTAGACTTCGAGCCTATTCCTGCTTCATTCCTGACTACATGTCTCTGTGTTTAGAAGAAGTAGATTAGAGTAGTACACAGACTCAGTGTTCTCATGTTATACATCTTATCTTTAATTTGTATGCTCAGCTAGGTCTGTTTCTAACTTAGGGCTTAACATGTTTATCTTAGAAAAATTTGTAACCGTCTATTCTCATAGACAGAATTAGGTAAGGTTTCCCTGGAAACCTCAAAGAATGAACTGCACGCATAATTCTCTAACCAAGGACAACTATTTGCTGTAACAACAATTAGTGATGTGGGATTTTACTTGGAGCATCACAGCCCACAGGAATGCTGGAGGACCTCCGACTCCATCATCACTTTAAGCTGCAGTTTGTCTCTGTCTCAATTATTTCTCCATCTGTATTATTTCTCTATTATTATTATTTCCAAATCTCTTGCGATGATCCTGCCTTGGGACCTGTTTTGCTGGGAGAATAACTAACTCCCGGCATAAGCTTACATGTAGAAGAGCTTTTCCAACATTTTCTTCTGTAATTCGTCTGCTCACGACTCACAAAAATTAATTTACGGCAGATAACAGACTTAAACCATACCATGATTTATCTCCCACAGCCAGTACGATGGAGGATCTCACAGAGGACTGTTCCCCAGTTCCCTGTGAGAGGGCCTGGTGCAGTGACTGGATGGAAGCCTGTGTGGGAGGTGGGCCCTGCCTGTGTGCACCACTGAGAGTGGCCTTGATTATGCCCCTGTTCAGACTTGGCCACCTGTGGAACATTTCTTGTTTAATCTTAAGGGTCAGGTGACATTTGGGAGCATGTTACCGGGTAATAAAATTCACCATCATGATTCTTTCTCCCTGCAGGCAGCACCTGTCACCAGCATGTGGGTGATTTATGAGTGTGTTGTCTGGCCTTGGCAAGAAGACCTGTGCATTGTATCTCGGCGTCTTCAGAGTGCTCTCCCTGTGGAATTCCACTGACAGTCACGTGCATGGAATTAGCCAGTGGACAACAGTCATCCTATGCAGCCAGTGACTCCAGCGCTGCCCAGATGGTCCGTGGATTAAGTGACCACAGTGGCAGGGCTGGATGACTCGCATCTCCCAACTTCATGTACTTTCACCCACCAAGGCAGACTGAGGTCCTCCATCTGCCTAATCTGAAGTCTTTTAGCAAAAGGGACCAGCAGTGACTTCAACAGGGCTCCTTAACTGAGTCAAGGAGTCATGTGATGGCAAATTCACTGAGACCTTTGACTCTGGGAGGTACAGCAACTCACCTTGACTGGA